CATATTTGTTTCTCTGTTTGTTTTGTTTGATAATTTAGCGGTTACTCTCTTTTATCTTTTAAGAGAGAGAGAGAGGGAAAGAGAAATAAAGAGAGAGAGAGAGAGAATGAAAAGAGAAGGGCAATTATAGTACGATATTTCTTTCATTTCTAACTCGTAATAACACCACAACCTTAAATGATTACAATTACCAGGTGAGAATTAGAAAATACACTTACTTTATTTTTCTCTTTTCATTCCATTTTGTTATTTATTTGTTTTCTTCTTTTTTTTAAAAAAAAAAAAAGCTTATTTCAAATAATAAGTTTAAATTTTTTTTAACAAACTGTAAAAAAAAAAAGAGAATAAAAAGTTTATGATTGAAAATTTTGGTTTTTCCAAAATATTACTTTTATTTATTTCTTCTTCTTTTTTTTTTTTTTTTATTTTTGATTTTTAAAATTTAATTTTTTCTAATTTTTAATATGCTTTTTTTTTTTCAAATTTTTAGTGAATTTCACTTAATTTTTAGTTTATTTCTGTTCATAAATGTATTTACCACTTATTAAAATTTTAATCAAATGGAATCGATCATTTATTTTAGCATTTTTATCATTTTTACAATTTATAAAATAAAAAATTCGAAATATTATTTGTACTATTTATTAAGTAAAAAAAAAAAAATCAATAATCAACAATTCTTTGTTTTAATTTTTAATTAATACTGTCTACAAAAAAAAACTAAGTGTCACCTTATTGTTTAATTGTTAATTTAAGATTAGAATAGTGAAAACAAAAAAATGAAATTTAAACTTTTGCTAAAATAATATTTAAAATTAATAATTTACTTTTTCACATTTCTCATTTTCCGCTCACATTTCGATGTAATTGAAATGTTATCATAGACAAGGTCATATAAAAAAATATAAAATAAATTGCCTCAAATGTTTTCCTTCTTCTTTTTTTTTTTCTTTTTTTGCAATTTTGCTTTCTGCTCAAAAATTAATATTTTTTTTTTCCCTCAAATTCAACTGTAAATTTATGATAGTTTTTTTTTTTTTTCTTCGTTTAACTTTAAAATTTGAAGGTTAAACCATCTTCACTTGATCTTAAGTAATAATTCCTTTTTTTTTTTTTTTCAATCTAATAATGTAATTACCCAAATTACTAAATCTATTGCATCTCTTTAATGTCGTAAAAAAAAAAAAAAAAAAATGAAAACAAAATTGAAAAATGATTCTTTTTTTTTGACGATGGAATAATTTTTAAAACAATTTTTATTTTAATCTTAATCAAGTTCGCCGGTATTTGCAAGTTTTCCGGATAAATTCAATGCAAATTGAAAATAATATATAAATAAATAAAAATATATGATAAATTTTTTGTTTAATTTGTCGTTGTTATTAATTTCATCTGAAAATTATGATTAAAACAGTATCAAAAATTTGAATTAAATTATGAAGTTTAAAAAATAAAACTCAATTAAATGAAATGAATTTATTATCTAAATACTAAATCTCATTTTCATTCATCCAATTCTAATCAATTTCATATGTAAATGTGCACCATTTTATTCTCTTTTCTAATCTTAATTGGATTTTTTTTTTCTCAATGCTTTGAAGAAAGCATTAAAATTCAAATTAAATTACTAAAAAAAAAGGGAGAGAGAGAGAGAAAAGACAAAAAGATGTAATGTTATTTTGTAAATAAATTAATATTTTTTAACTCAAATTTCATTCACTTCAAAATTTTGAATTCGTTTTTCTTTTTAATTTAATTTCATTAAAATATTAATATTAAATGTTTAACTTTAAATGAAACCAAAAATTCATGAAAAATTGTTTAAACTAAAAAAAAAAAAAAAAAAGAAAAACATTTTACTTATTTTATGTATGATCCATTTTTATTAATCTTTTCTTATTTATCAATTCAATTTTCTTCTTCTCCTTTTTTATTTATTTATTTATTTTTATTTTTTTTTTTTGTTCGGAAATTATTCCTGTTGGAATTGAAAAAAAAAATTATCTCATTTAAAATTGCCAGGAAGTAATACATTTTTCAAATTTTACATCATTCACTTTTTTTTGACCTTCGTCGTCGTAAAATATTATTTGATTTCTGGTTGATTTGAAATCAATAGATTTATTTATTCAAATCACAAAATGCTGCTAAAATTTTATTATAATTTTTCTTTTTTTTTTTTTTTTCATTTTAAATTTTACAATAATAATTTCTTTATCTGATTATGCTAATCATACATTTCACATTTATTTCATTTTGCTTGAACTGATTTACTCAAATAATTTTTTTTTTTGAATTTAATAAAATATAATAAAATGAATTAGATGAAAAATTAAAGAGCCAAATGAATTAGATGAAAAATTAAAGAGCCAAAAAGAAATTATAGTAATAAGTTTTATTTTTTTGATATGCAATAATATGTTTTACATATAAAATTACCCGCTAGTTTGGTTTTTTTTTTTTTTTGAAATTACAAAAATTTTCTATTTGCAAATATTAGCTAACTTTAAATAAAAAATTTTATAGTATAATAAGCAACAAATGCTTTACAACATATTACATTTTATTTGGAATATATTTGTTTATTTCTTCCTTTTTTGAATATTAAAAGAAATTATTCTTTTGTTGTTTATTTTATTTCTGATTTTGTTTTTTAAAAAATTTTAAAATAATTTGAATAATTTTTTTTTTCCTATTAGATGTAAAATTTTTTGCAAAAGTGCTATTACTAAAATATTTGTAATTTTTGAATAATTTTTTCTTTTTTTTTTTTTTTTATTGATTTTGAATACATTTTTTTTTAAGTGAAAAATATTTGCCATCTTTTTTTTTTCTCTCTCTCTTTCTTTCTTTCTCTTCCTCTCTCTCTCACTTTCTCTTTTGTCATTTTTTTTTTTTTTGTATATGTTAAGACATACCATTTAAATAGTAAATCTCGGAACGAAAGTGATTATATATGTGAAAAAAAAAAAAAAAGATGAAAGGAACAGGTTTGAACAAATAATATTTCCTACTCAATTTCATCTTGCACACAATCACACCATTATCATCAATTATCACCTTATCAGCAATTATCACCTTATCAGCAATTATCACCTTATCATCAATTATCACCTCATCATCAATTATCACCTTATCATCAATTATCACCTTATCAGCAATTATCACCTTATCAGCAATTATCACCTTATCAGCAATTATCACCTTATCATCAATTATCACCTTATCAGCAATTATCACCTTATCATCAATTATCACCTTATCAGCAATTATCACCTTATCATCAATTATCACCATTATCATCAATTATCACCTTATCAGCAATTATCACCTTATCAGCAATTATCACCTTATCAGCAATTATCATTATACTTGTTTTCTGATTAAGTTTAAAATTAAATTTCATCTCAGTATCATTCACATTCTATTGTTTGAATATTATGAGAAATTTTAAAAAATTTTTTTGCAATTTTAGCAAGAGAAATTAGCATTAATGGAAAGCTTCTGATAATGTTCAAAATTTAATTTTAAAGAAATAAAAGTAAACTTAATGCATTCACATGAATTTGTTAAATTTTATAAGAAAAAAAGAAAAGTTTATTAAATTTTATTCATTAATTATTAATCAAAAGTAAAACATTTAGTAATGTAACTTAGAAGTAACAATTTCTAATGTTTATATTTTATGATTATGCATAGAATTAGTCGAGATTTTTAAGTTTTTTTTTTTTTTGAAGTTGAGAATATCGATATTGTTGTACTTTGAATAACTTTGAATTGTAATTAGTCTTTAGTTGAAAAGTTTTGTTCGTTTTTTTTTTTTTTTTTCTTTTACTGAATTTTAAAATTAGGAAAAAGATTTCATCTTTTGATGTACTACTAATTCATATTTTCAGAGAATAAATTTAATCATTAAAAAATTCATTTCATCTTTTTGCACTTTTTTATACTTTGATAATATCTTTTTATTAAACCAAAAGTTTTTCTTTTTTTTTTCTTTTTTCGTTTTCCTTTTTTTTTTTTTTCGATTATTCATTTTACGATTGACAAATTGTTATTATCAAATATTATATGATTATTTCTACGTTGATATCATTTTATATAATTATAAGAAATGATACGTTTTCGGAAATTCGTCATTATTTAAAAAATTATATTATTTGAATAGAAAAATAATAAAAATCATCGCTGACTTAAAAAAGAAAAAATTAGAATTCATAATTTCAAGATGGAATGTCATATTTGAAATAATATTTCTTATTATTTTATTTTGTTGAGAACAATAAAATTGATTAATTGATTAGATACTGACGAAAATTTTCTCGTCATTCTATCATTTATCACCATTTTTGTATTGAACTAAATTTTAGAAAATTTCTTTCTTCTTTTCTTTTTTTTTTTTTTTTTCAAATTAACTTATATGCCTTTGAAATATAAGATATTACACCACAATTATTTCCATTTTATCATAATATCGCTAAAGTTAAAATTTTGTATAATTGTTTATTTCAGTAGTAATTAATGTTAACAATCATACTGATACTAATATTTATTGTTGTTATGATTATGATTACTATTCATTCTTATTATTATTTTATTATCATTGTTATTAATATTATTATTATTTTATTATCATTGTTATCAATAATATTATTACTAATTATTATTATTATTATCAATTGTTAATTAAGTAATAATAATAACACCACTATTTAATATATTGTAAATTATATTACGATTATAATGATAGTAATAATGATAATAATAGTAACAGTACTTAATATATTATAAATCATATTACGACCATAATAATAGTAATAATAATAAGACCACTATTTAATACATTATAAATTATATTACGACTATAATAATAATAGTAATAATGATAATAATAATAATAATAATGATACTAATAGTAACAATGATAATAATAATAATAACAGCAATGTAATCTTCGGGGCGTGACTATTGCGCAGAGAATGAATTTGAAAAGCCACGCCTCAGTTGTTAGATGGGAATGTGTCCGTCCGTCCGTCCGTGTCTATCCGTCGTCCGTTCATTACTTTCAAATCGTTGACATGCCGCTTTGTTATCCGTTGTTTCCGTCTAGGGCTGATATCTATACTGATTGATCGTTTATTAATATCATTTTTCAATTGTTCAAATTATAGTAGTGTTATTGTTATATTTTTAGAATCACTAATTTTTGAAATGTTTAATTAATTAAACTTTGATGTTGCTAGTAGGTATGTAATGCAAAAAATAATTTATTCATAATAATAATAATAATAATTGTAATATTTAAGTTTTAAAATGAATTTAAAGATCAAACTTTAGCTATTAAAAGGAAAAAAAAAAAAAAAAGGAGTAATTACTTTAGCGAATGTAAAGCGCTTTTCATCAATATTTTATGACATAACTTGAAATGAGAAATGAGTGAATAAATTAAGATGAAAAAAAGATAATGAAATTTAATTAAATTTAAAGCAACTACTAGCATGAAATGATATAGAGGAATTGTAAGGTAGAAAGGGGAAAAAAAAAAAAAAAAAAAAAACGAATGAAAATAATCACTTTGTACTCTAACATTTTCATTTCCTATTACTTATTTAAAAAAAAAAAAAAATAAATTTACATTTTTTTTTTTTATGTTTATATTTTATGATTTGAAAAAGAACACTGTTCCAACCATTTTTACAAAAAAAAAAGGAGCGGTAATAAATTTTAATCGGATGATGAAGTTGAGATGAAAAGGTGACGGTGAAACATAAAAATGAGGTCATTGTCGACATTTTAGTTCATTTATTATATAGTTTTTTTCATTTTTTTTTTTTTTTAAATAAAATTTTATGACCTATTTATATATTTTTGCATAATATCTAATTGAATTAAGTGAAATCTTCCAAAAAAAAAAAGTATGAAAAAGTATTCAAAAATCCTAATTCTTCGTCATTTTTTCTTTTCTCTTTTTGAATTAAAAGGCATAATTTTGAGTGATTTTATAATTAATTTGAAAATTATATCAAAAATCATTCTGATGAGGAAGATGATGGAGTTTTTTTTTTAATTTTATAAAATGATAAAAGTTTATCATTTAATTTCATTCTTTCAACAAAGTCATAATGACGTATATACGAGTTAAAAAATTGAAATTAGATTAAACAAATAATGTTTAACCATTTCAATTATTCAATTATTTTTTTTTTTTTTTTTTTTTTTTTAGTTTAACAAATTTGTATCAAAAATAGACCTTAATTTTTCACGTAGAAAAATTTTTATTTATACTTATAAAGTACACTGTTTTAGTTGGAATATAATTTTAATTTAAAGTCCATTTTTTTATTTTTACTTTTTGTCAATTTTTTTAAGTGAGCGAAATAGTTAAATTGCTTTCTAACTATGTTGGTGAATGTAATATTAATATTTAAAAAAAAAAATTGAAAAAAATTTATTGATATTTAAATTTTTTTTTTTTTTTTTGAATAATTAAGTTCTAGGATTTTGGTAGAATTTGTTAGAAAATGATTAAGTTACAGGGTTGCTAGGGTTAACAAATTCAATCTGTAATAATGATGGATTAGTTCTATTCGTGTTCCGGAACGGATGTAATCCGTAATCCGTTGTCACGAAATAGTAATATTGCGATTTTTCAATTTCCTATAAATCATTTTGTTTTATGCTCTCACTTTTATAATTAATTGCATTGCAATTGCTTTTATTCAAATTAAACGATCGGCGATAATTTGTGAAGCAATAATATGTTACATAATTAATTAGCATCAAAATTTGCATAAATTGTAATTAAAAAAATGAATTTAATTAGTTTTAATAAAAAATTTTTTGATTAAAAATTTTCAATTTCTTTTTTTTTTTTGATAAAATACTTTTAATTTATAGTTATTATATTATTTGCAAATGTTATATGCTAAATCGTTATCAATTCGAAACAAATAATAATTAATCGTATTACATTTCATTTTTTTTTATTATTATTATTGCAATAAAATAAATGAATGATTAATTTCAGGTTTCAAAGAAAGAAAATTGATAAATTGGTAGAGATGAAATCAAATTAATAAACAATTTTACTGCTATTTAATAATTATTAAAGAAACGAATAAAATTATTTTTGTTTTTTTTTTTATTTTATTTTTTCTTTTCCTTTTTTTTTTTTTGTTTTTAAATTTGAATACATTCAATGACGACTTTTCGTCATGCTAATCAATCTTATCATTCTATTACTACTGGATATAATCAGTGATTATTATCATATTGTTGAAGCACGTCGTCTTCCAGATATCTACTGGAATAGTACTAATCAAATGTAAGTCTCTTTTTTTTTTTTTTTTGTAAATTTAAAATTTTAAAATATGATACTTTTAAAGTATAATAGAAATTTTAATGATTAATTAAGCTTTGAAATTTTAAAAAAATAGCAATTTCAAAATATAATAAGCAATTTTAATGATTAATTAAGCTTTAAATTTTTGAAATATGGTAGCATTTAAATGTGATGAAAATTTTAATGGTTAATTAAATTTGAAATTTTAAAATGTGATAACTTTTAGAAATTTGAATGATTAATTAAATTTTATGATATAATAAATAATACGCAAATTTTTGAAATATAATAAATATATTTTTTTTAAACTAATAATCTTTAAATAAATAATATTTAATATTTCAGAAAGAAAAAATGATTAGTAATAGTAATAATTATTATTTTAAATTGAATTCTTTTTTTTTTTTTGTTTAATTTTCAATAAAAATAAATTTTTATTTAATAATTTTTAGAATAATTTTTTTTTTTTTTTTTAAGAGATTAAAAGAAATTAATTTATTGTTAGTCAAACTTATAATATCATAATTTTCTCATTTAACTTTTTTTTTTTTTTTTAAATTAAAATATTATAAATTTATTTATTTTATCGATTCGTTTTCGTTTTGTTTGTAAAAATTTATTCATTTGTTTACTCTTTACGGTAGATTATTTCATGTTTACTAGCCTCTTAACAACGATTAAATGTGGATGGTAATGTTTTACTAAGAGCTTCTAATTACACTTAAAGTTAAGTAAACAATTGGGTAAATTATGTTGATCCCTCATACCTGTTTAATTCTAGGTTTTTTTTGAGTACCACCTGGGGATTTTTTATGGGTAAAACGGAGGGAAAAAGTATGGTTACTTCTCAAATTTCGGCAGGTGCAGTGATGATTTTTTTTAATGGTATGATTAAGAAATGAAAATTTTCTTTTCTTTTTTTTGTTCGTATTTATCGGTTTCTCTTTCAGATTTTTTCCAATTTAAGTTTTCTTTTTTTCATTTTTAATTGCAATTAGCTAATTTGTTTTTTTTTTCTTTTTTTTTTTAAAAGCTTTAAGATTAAAATAGAATTAAATCTGTGTTATTTGTAAGCAAATATTTAATATAGCTAAAATGAACATTGAAATCGTTGAATTTTAACATTTCAATCAAAAGTAAGAAAAAATCTTTTTTTTTTTTTTTAAAAAAAAAAGAGAGAGAAATTCTATTTTTTGTTTTTTTTTTCTTTGTTTTTTGTCGCTAACTTTTGCACAAAAAAAAAAAAAAAAAATTCCAATTAAATGATTTTTTTTTTTTTTTATAGCAAAATGAAATTTAAAAAGAAAACTGGTTGTTGAATTTTTTTTTCTTTCTGAAATGCATAAAGAATGAAATGAAATTCGTTTGACCTTAAATTGGATTAACTTTTTTTTTTTTTTTTCATTTCATTTTATCATTACATACATAAACAATAATTGAAATGTTAATTAAATTAACGGCTAAATTACTAAAATTTAAAATTTACTTTATTTTTGAAAAATTTGCTAAAATATTTGAAAGTTTTTTCGTCACTTTACTTCCAAATATTGACGGCTAAATTACTAAAATTTAAAATTTACTTTATTTTTGAAAAATTTGCTAAAATATTTCAAAGTTTTTTCTTCACTTTATTTTCAAATGCCTGATAAATTTAAAACTTCACTATCAATATTTTTCAGTTTTAAAATTTCTTAATCAATTTTATTTATAATATTTATTTATCATTATTGTTGCTGAAAAATGAGAAAGAAAAATAAAAAAGAACTGTCATCTGCATGTGACAATATTTGCTTAACTAAAAAAGAAAAATATAAATGTTTTTTACTTTCGATTCACTCATATGTGCGACAATTTTATGGAAAAAATTGTTTGAAAATTTTTGGATTTTCTTTTTCCTTTTTTTTTTTTTTTTGAAATTTCAGATCAGAGAGCAAAATTCTCTTTCATTTTTCTCATTTTTATCTTTTCCTCTAATAAATTTATTTATTATCAAAAAAAGAAATATACAAATGATAAAAGAATATTTTCCCAGCTGTTTCCATCACTAATCTTTCATTGTTTGTATGTTTTTTTTTTTTTTTTTTTTTGTAGTAATAATAAAAATGAATCAGATTAGTGAACAGTTCAATGAATAGATCATTAATTCAAATTTCTATCAAATAGATCAATTCATATTTGTGAATAAAAATTTTGATTTATTACTTATTGCATTGATCAATTGATACGAAAGATATTATTTTATGAGAATTAAATTATTTTGCTGAGCAAAATTTTTGTTTAGCAATGAAGATAAATAACTTTTTTTTAGCAATAATTAATGTGTGAGAAAATGAAAAGATAGCAATAAATTCGAATTCGATTATTAAAAATTTCAAAAATTATATAATAAAATTTAAATCGAATTTTTTGTTTTTTTTGTTTTTTTGAAATTATAATTTAATGATTTAATCAATCAGTCAGTCAGTGGTTGATTTTATTTTATTTTTTGCAAACCTTTGATTTCTATTTTTGTTAAATTTATTTACTTAATTTTCAAACAAAAATTTAATCTTTTTTTAAAAAAAAAATGAAAAACAAAAATGAATAAAATTGTCAAAAATTTCATTCTTACAATAAAATTTATTCCATTTAATTCAGACTATAATTTAAAAAAAAAAAAAAAAAATTATTCAACTACTTTTTTTTTCTTTTTTCTTATTTTATATATTAAAATTATATCATTGCTTTATTTTCATTTTTAATTTTGCAATAACAAAAAAAAAAAAAAAAAGGAAAAGAAAAATATATATTTTTTTTTTGTGTGAAAAGAAAAATATATATTTTTTTTTTTGTGTGTGAAAAGAAAAATTGTTTTCAAAAACTATTTAAAATTTTTTTCTTTTGTTTTTGCCCTTTTTTTTTCAAATAATATGAATGAATAAATAAATAAATAACAATTTATAATTTATGAATTGTTGTTTACTTATTTGTAATGAAATAGCATTGAATATAAATGATAAATTAATTCATTTTAATTTCCATATGTTAACCTTATGCTTTATCATCTATCCATTTTGTTT